CCGCCTCCCGCTCCTCCCCCACGCGGGTCCCAGCGTGGGGAGAAACTGGGGTCCGGCCGCAGGGGAAGGGGGCTTCGTCTCTCGCCAGCTTCTATGCCTCTGCGGAGCTGAGGTCGGGGGCCCCCAGCTGCTTCTCTAAGAAACTCAGCGGAGCCTGGGGCCCGCCGTGCACCCCGCACTGCCAGGGCGGACTGAGGCCTTCCGACGGAGTTTCCTGCTTCTCTTGCTGGGATCGTGTGGGGTCGGAGGTCAGAGGTCACCTCCCAGCCCCTCTGCCAGGCTCTGGGGGAAGTTTGGTCTTGGACTCTGGTCGTGGAACCGCTTAAACCTGTGGGTCTGCAGGCCGCGAGGCCCGGTCCCTGGAGTTGGCCTCCCAGGCCGTTCCACTCCCTCCCCCAACCCCCGCGCGGGGCCTCCCGATTGGAGGTGTTTCACCCACGTGCTGGTGGGCCCGTCTCCCTGGGCCGCTGGGTGCCCTGAGCCGTGTTCTCTGCTGTGCGTTCCTTTCTGTGTGTGGCTGGGGTGTTGACCCGTGGACGCCGGAGGCAGCCCGGACTCCCATCCCGTGGAGCTGCCTCCGGGAGCGCGTGCACCTTGGTGTTCCCGCCCGCCAGCGTGGCCGCCCTCTCCTGCCTCCTGCCAGGGTCCGTGTCCCCCCAGGTCGCCCGTTCTTCCCACCCACCCCTCTTTTCCTCTGGCGGGCTCCTGACCTCCTTCCCTCCTGTTCTCCAATGGGACACTCAGCTCAGCGTTCTGCAGGGTGTTTTAGCCTGTAGCACCCCCAGCAGCGGCGCCTAGAGTTAGGTCAGGGTTCAGGCAGCACCCCCCACCTCTCAGCCACCCAGCCCTTCTTCGCCCGGCCACTGTCGGAGCACCCCTCCGGTCCTCTGTGGGGCCTTTCCCAGCTCCTCCCTTCGAGAGGCTTCTTGGCATTTTCCCTTGGGGTCACCGTTGGGTGGTAGCCGAGCCAGAGTCCAAGGGGAGGAAATTAAAGGAGCTGCCACCCAAGGTGGTGGCCCCCTGTCCTTTCAGCAAAGCCACTTGGAATGGGCACAGAAAGTGGAACAAGATACCATTTGTCACCTCTTAGTGGCCAGGGATCCTTTCGCAGTGGTCACACCCAGGGCCCGATGGCGCTGGCCCCAGCCTGGCGGGAGGGTGGCCGCTGCGGCAGAGGCACCACCGGGGAGATCTCGTGCTGGGAGCAGTGGGAGCTGGGCTGCTGCAAGCTTGGAGAACAGGCTCTGTTCTTTACCACCGGCTGCTGGAAGGGTGCGCAAGGCCGCTCTGCCCTGGCCGGGGGGCTGGTGGTGACTTTTTAAAAATTCTTCAATTCTTCGTGTGTTTTCCAATTAAAGCATGAGGCTGCATTATTCATGAAACAACAGTGGCGATCTTGGTGCTGAGCGGTTCTTCCAGGCCTGCGCTCCTCTTGGCCTCCGCCTCTGGAGTCCTGCTTTCCTGGTTTGTGGGCAGTGTGGTCTCCCAGGCCTGAGGGATGGAACGGGGAACGAAGGTGTCATCCTTTCCGGGATGTTGAGTTCCCAGGGTTCCACCCTGTGCCCCTTCCTCTGAGGTCTGTGCCTCTGACCTGTGTCCCTGGAACACAGAGGGCACTGAGTGCCCACTGGCCCCAGCCACCGTCAGTGGGGCAGAGCCCATGTTCCTTTCTCAGCCAGCCCTGTCCTAGCCAACTCCACACACTGTCCCCAGGCTGCCTCTCTGCATCTCACAGCCCCTTGGGGTCATTCCATCCCCTTTGCAGGGTCACGTAGTGGGTTCCGAGGTCCAGCTGGACTGTGGCCGGTGGGACGAGGCTCCGAGTCCACGGTGGGAGGGGCAGGTGGCACCCCTTACCCCAGGCTACACCAGCATGTTTCTCCGGAGAACCAGGGCCTTCTGCGGACCCCAGTGTAATGAACACATTTGGGAACTTGACTCTGGGGCCCCCTGACTCTGCCGCTCCCCCAGCCCAGTCCACCTTTGCCTTGGTAGTGCATGTCCCTGCCTCAATGGCCCAGGCTGGCCAGCCTCCCATTGTGGTTCTAAGGACAAGATAGGCCACTCTCCACTTCAGGGTGACATTTCTGGCCTGGGCTGAGGAAACCTGGGGCTGGGCTTCCAGGCCTGGCTCGAAGGGGAGGCAAAGCCCCGTGGTGTGAGGCCGTGGAGCGTCCTCCAGGACAGGGGAGAAGTAGTACTAGTCCCTGTCTGGACGCTGGACCTGAGCCATCGTCTGATGTGCGTGGGCAGGTGCGGGAGTTTGTGAGGTCTGATTGGGTCTGGTCTGACTGGGGGCTGATGAGGGGGCCTGGGAACCTGTAGAGCTGGCTCACTGGGGCCTCTCACCCCATCTCCAGTCAGGCTCCCTGGCAGTGAGTGTCTGCAGACCCAGCTCCCTAGGTCTTGGGCCTTCCCCGAGGTGCCCTCTCCCCAGCATTTCGTTCCTTTCCTGGCACCCTTTCTGGGCACGCTCTTGGTCCTCCCAGAGGTGGGCAGTCGGGCCTTGGGTGGGGGAGCCTGGCCAGCCTTTCTCTACTCTTATCTCCCCACTGGACCCCAGTTCAGAGCTGTGTGTGGCCCCCACGCCGGCCTCCCCGAGGTGCCCCCTAATCCCCAGGTGGATCTCGTTTCCCTTTCAGCCTGTCCAGAGTCACCGAGGAGATGTGACTGGAAGGTTGTTTGGGCCTTGGCTCTGGGGGCCGGAATGCGGGGTCACCCAGGCCGGGGGCTGCTGCTGCATGCCTGCCCCCCGCCCCCTCCCCGCCGGCCTCTCTCGCAGGGCAGGATCCTGGCGACCTCTGTTTCTTTTTTAGCAGATCCTTGCTCTCACCAGCTCTGGCGCTTGGTGAGATGAGGTCATTTGTAAAATATGCTTCCTGGCTGGCCGGGGCTCCCTTACTGTGTCACCTGCAGCTGCCCATTTGCTGGGAGCCCCAGCTCCCTCAGCTGTGGCCTTCCTGCCTTTGTTGTTTACAGTTTGGGTTTTGGAAGCACACACCCTTACACAGGGTCTCAGCAGGGCGCAGTGGGCGGGCATGAAGGTGTCTGTCTGGAAGTATTGGAGGCTTGTCATTTGGGGACATGAACTCTGGGTCCGGCACTCACTTCTGTCCACACAGGGGATCAGCTGAGTAGGGGAGGGCATTTGGGACCCTGACCTGGGGCTCCTGGGGCCCCACCACATCCCCAGTGTCTGCTTGCTGGGCCTGGTCCCCATTGGAGCACTTGGCAGCCAGAACCCTGGGCTCAGGTCTCCTGGGAGAACGCCCAGCCCGGGCTGTGTGACCTTGAGTGAGGAGGTCCTTCCTGAGGCCATCCTGCTACAG